TGGCCGGCGGGCGAGCAAAGCCCTTCCCGCAGCCCCCCGCGCTGGGGGGCTCAGCAGAGCGCAGGTCACTGTGCCGCGAGCACGTCACTTCAGCCAGCGTGGGGACGGCCCCACCGCGAAAGCAACATGTTCCTACGTCACCCGCTGCCGGATGCCTCTCGCACTTTCCAGGCCCCTCCCCCCCCTCCCCAGGGGCTGCCCGCCGTCCTGTCCCGGCCCCTCAGCATGGCGGTGGTGCACCCCTCCCGGGGAGGGCACACGGGCTGGTTTCTGGTCTCACCAGGGGTCCCAGGCAGCTGAGGGTCTGCAAACAGGGTGGGGGGCAGAGAGGCTCTCCTGCCTGCAGACGGGGGGGTGGAATGGGCCACAGGCAAGGGCAGGGAAGGTAGGGAGGAGCAGAGCCCAGCCCTGCTCTCTGCCTGGGAAGTAGAAAGGCCACAGATTTTTGGCAGGGGCGGCTCAGGCATCTTGTTCGGAGGCTGAGGTGATGCTGCTAATTATAAGCCAGGAGAGCAGAGCTGCAAGAGTAAGGGCAAAGGTATGCTGAGCACGACGTAAGAGGTGCCTCACCTCATGGATGAGTAACAAGAATGAGCTGGAACAGGCTGGAAAGAGCTGAGCTCTTCTCCCGAGGATGACGTGATGTGCAGGATGAGGCCACGCCTCCCGGGAAGGGCAATAAAAGCCACGGGCAGCAGCGCCGGAGCAGAACGCTCACAACCCCTGGAGAGGGCACAGCCAGCAGCAGCAGCGATGCTTTGCCGAATGCACCTCGCACCATTCGCCTCCAGCTCCCTGGCCACCCGGCTGGGCACGGTGAGGACCCTCTGGCCGCACGCAGAGACCATCTTCACTGAGCTGCAGCAGGAGATGGAGAAAGCTCGGGAGTTCATGAGCAGCTTCGAGCAACTCCTGAGCAGCCAAGGAGCCACCGCCATGGAGCGAGCCCCGAGCACCAGCGCAGCCCTGACCCAGGGCTCCGTGGAGGGCTTCTCCATCTGCCAGGACGTCAAGAACTTTGCTCCCGAGCAGCTGTCGGTGAAGGTGGTGGGCAGGAAGGTGGTGCTGGTGGGGCAGAAGGAGACGCAGAGCACGGACGAGAAGGGCTCCTTCTCCTACAAGTACGAGGTGCTGAAGCGGGAGTGGGACGTGCCCGAGGCGGTGGAGGCCGATGAGCGGGCCT